AGCGTAAGGTCACATTTTGTTCGATTTTTTTATTATTTAGTTTTAGCATAAATTTTTAATAACTAACGACAGATAACATAATAGTTACATTGATAAACAAATGGCTTCAATTGCATCACCATTTATTTTTTATATCAATACTTGAGAAGGAACGTTACTTTCCTCACATTTACGGGTCCTCTACACAAAGAATTATTAAAATTCTTCGATCGAAAACGCCGCTCCTTATAGACATCTGCCCCTCGAAATTAAAATCGACTCCCCGGGGGCGAATCGACGAACCTTTTCTTTCTCCCGCCGTACATATAAACTGAATTTCGTTGTTTGTAATGTTTTGTTCCGTTACAGGCACGTGTGCAACACGCTGGCGGGCGGCGCGCGGGTGGTGGGCGCGCGGGACGGGGCGGAGCTGTGCGTGACGTCAGCGCGCGCGCTACTGGCCGCGCCCCATCCCGCCCCGCACGCTGCCCCGCACGCGACCCCGCACGCCGCTCCGCACGCGACCCCGCACGCCGCCCCGCACCCCGCGCGCCGCCGCCAGCCGCGCCCCATACACAAGCACGACCAGTGACCGGCCCCGAACACCGGTCGTCTCTTTCTCTCGTAGAATAAAAGTGCACGTCGCCGGATTCTATGTTTGAGCGACTGGTTTATTTTTTTTTTTTTTTTTTTTAAGTATAAGATTCAACCCCGTGATTTTATTTATTGTAGTTTGATCGTCTATAGGGATGTGTTCGATTTTTTTTAATATGACCTTAATTTAAGTTTCGAGGAGGAGTACCTTAATTTTTCTTAAATTGTCTAGTTGTTTTTTTTTTCTTTAGACGAATAAAGGAATTTCAAAACTGATTGACCAATCTATTAACAAAAAAATGTACTAAAGCTGTACGATAGTATCGATAAAAAAGAACAAGAGACCGAAACGTATGGACGTGTCAGTTGAAGTGTAGAAAAATAAAAGAAATACAGAAAAATCTCATGTTCCATATGCGTTCTTTGTGTACTTACTTTTTGTTTGAATATATTTTTAAAACTATTGATTGATTACTCCGACTGTCCGGTTACTACTTTTAGCTAATTAATGTTATTTTTCACTCCATTTTTTGTAGAGTAGTAAATTCAACCGTTTCAAGTGCATATTGAAGCTTTATTAAAAATTATATAGTATAATATAAATTCATAGTTACCTTGTGTATCTGATTAGACCAGTGTATGTAGGTACAGAACGATACCTAAATTTATTAATGAAAGTGTTATTGCCCCACTTTGCAGTTATCAATAGATAGATTATTAAGTACTTTGGCGTGATCGGAAATTTTGATGTCATACTACTATTGTAAGTTTTAAACTACTTGAACACCTGATTCTGATATTTAGTAACTCCCATATATTTTTTTTTTTAAATAGACACGAGATGAAATTGGAATTGAGAGTAATTTTTAAATCTTTACCCGAACATAAATTACCGTGTGATGCCAAAATAAATTGAAAAAAAAAAACAGTTCCGTGATTCAGTACGTGTAGAATTTTAAGCTAGTCTTAAATATATTTCAAATATTACACCTTAAGTTAATTTAATTAAAGTAAGTAGTAATTGGGACGTAACTAATAAGTAAATATTTATTACATTTTATCGATTAATAAAATTAAATTTAAAATATTTCTGACAACATAACAGATAACGTCAATAGACAGATATGAATCTGTCGCTAAAACGAAATATAGGTGCTTAGCACTGTTTGAAATGAATTTACACTTTATCGCGTAGTTGCTACTTATTGTTGAAGCTGTTCATATTAGAAATACTTGATATTTATTCCACAGGGGTAATTCAAAGCATATATTTAATTTGTCCAGTAGCTGTACTATTGAGTATCGTAATATGTCTTTAAAGTTTTTGTAAGTATAATCTATCCCATACATTGCGTATTAGAAACTGTTCGTGTATTAACCTGAAGTATTTTGACCTAATTTAAGCTTTTAAACTTACATTATATAGGTGGTGTACGCACATGAACGTTGTTTTACATCGTGATACAGGTATAGATAATATGAATATATGTCTATGGTCGCCTTACGGTTTATAATAATGTTGTACGATATGCATTGTCATTGTACTGTACATTGCAAATGAGTTTTATTCTAGAGTACGTAAGCTCGACTAGTAAGTGAAGATCGCGGTCTATAAGTAACTTGTAAATATTGCAAATAGATTTATTGTATTATTCATAAACCGCACGCACCTTCTTCTATGCTCGCGTGAGTAACGTAAGCCGCGATCTTCCTTATATTATTATATGTCTTCCCTACTCTAGTATAATAACTCTATGTACAGTGCACGCTTAAATATATATGTATATTTTAAAGTTCGGACCAGCTGTTTTTAAATTTGTATAGTGTCTATTTATATACTAATTGTTTACCGTTTGTAAATAATTGTATTTTGTGAAAAACGCTTGGGTTTTCATTGTTTGTGCAATATCTTTACTGTACGAAAGATTCTTAAATATATTTTTTTGTTAATATAACTGCCTAATGAACTGCAATCACTTATAAAATTTATAATTTTAAAGTATGATTTAGAAAGATGACATAATGGCGGCTATTTTTGTTCAATACAAAAACAGTTATATTGTTAAATGGGGAGCTTAAGAGAAATGAATATTAGCGGTAGTCAATATAAATTTAACTCGAGAAGGTTTTATTTTTATACTAGAAGGTTAACCATGACTTTATGCTCCTGAATAATATCGTTGTTAAAGCAAAACAGCGCTATAAGCATGTACAGCGCCATCTCGCTTCCACTGTAGTCAAATCGTGTTAAATAACTAGTTGTTTTGTCTGCATTAGTTTATAATACAGTTAACTAACAGTTTTGAAATGATGGCTTCAAGGATTGTGATCTCTTTGTTGTAAGTTAACTAATTTAGAGAGTGCTCTTACTAAGTACAATTAGCAGCATATCAGCTCATATAAAAGCTTTTTCAGATGTTATCTTTAAACCTCAACTTTTGATAATTAAGTTTAATACAGATTTGTTTTTTCATGTTGTAATAACCTGACGTATTGTTGTGTGTACATTCTGTTATTTAAAAATGTTCATACATATATTCAAATTTACACTATAAAATTGGTGTGAAAATATATTTAAATTATTCTTGCTATAAAAGTTGGATGTGAATACGAGTATCTACAAATAATGTTACACCAAAAATGAAATATCGTTTTTAAAATCTGCCATAATCCAGTTATATATAACTAAAACTTTTTTAAAGATATGGACTCTATTTCTGTTGGTCTGCTAATGTAAAGCGTTAGAAAAGTTTTCCATATATAGAGTATGTTTTTCGTTCCTATAGGCCCAGTCATGAAGTTGGCGGAAACTCTTAAAAATATCTAAAAACATTGTAACTAACGTAGATAAGTGAAACTTTAGCAATGTTTTGTGATGTCGAATGCAACGTTATTTGTGAAGTATTAAGATTAGTTTTTTAAATAAACTATGGCGCGTGTGACTCGTTTGTTAAATATAAATAAGCTAAACGAAATTTATAACACTCAATTGGCGAAGGTGTGAAAATAACTTTAAACAAAGTCGTTTCATTTTCTAATAAACTTTGGAAAAATGATATTGCATTTTATTTATTACTTACATAAGCTCGTGTTTGTATAATTTATGTCTTACCTTTCACAAACTGTCATTGCCCCCTTTGAATTGATTTTCACGTGAAAAGCTCATTGAATAAAATTTAACGAAATTACACTCCTTTTTCAGCAGTCGTGCAATAAAAGATTATTATTTTATTTACAAAAAATGTATTTGCATAGCTTTGTTGTTATAACCAGTGATGGGCAAATGCCCGGGCATTAATGGCGAATTGGTTTTTCCCGCTGGGCATTTATATTTTTAACACAATTTATTTTAAATTATACGAAATATCAAGTGATTGACTTAGTTCTGTTTTGTTGTTAAAGATAAGTAAATATCAAAATAGTAAAAATACATACAGTATAAACAATTCAAGCTTGGTCAATGTTCTTTAGTCAGTCAGTAGAATTATTTGTGGAGAAAACACTCGCTACGAAAGATTTACGAAAATTCAATCCCTAGGGGGCAGAATAGGGGTTGAAAGTTTGTACGAAAGCATCAGTTTTAAAGTTGAAAATATATTTAGACTTAATCTTAAAATGAGTTAATACCTATATATTTCAGCGATTGTGGAAATTTTACTCTTGAAGGAGTGTGATAAGGGTTGTAAGTTTACACGGTAATCTGTAATTTTTCCACCCATTAAGGGAAGAATTTCCAAAAATCCTCTCTTAGTGATTATAAACTACACAGAATAACCCTACTGACCAAAAATCATGGGTCAAACTTCAAAAGTTTGAGTAATAATTGAATACTAATAGCCAAATCATTTATATAGTTATTTATTTATTAAATATCTTTACTTAAAACAATAATTTTTTTATACAATTGGGCAAATAGGATTCATTCCCAAAATGCCTGAGTTTACTCCCTATCTGTCCGCCCGGCGGAAGCACTTTGCCCATATATAGTTATAACACTTTGTGTACACAAAGTATTGAAATATAAATCGCGTAGGTACAACACTTGTAGTCTTCTAAATCTTTTGTGTTTCCTTTTAGTACTTACATAAGTTGGCAATCTGATCATACGTTTAAGAATTGATATCGAAAAAAAATTTGAAGTTACTTTTTTGTGTTACACACACATCACTAGCGGAACCTAGAAACGGTCCGCTGCAAGTTCTGAAAACGGTAAATTATACAGAAATTATTGCTTAAAAATATCACCAGATTTTAAAAATTCGATCACAACTTATTAATATTTCCATGCGGCAGACTAAAAAGGTCCGCGATCAAGTTTCCAAAATCTCCAGACTGTCTTGAATAGATTCCAGATGAAGTGAAAAAATGTTCGGACTCCTCAGCTATTCGACACACGTTCGCTTCAGTTCTTTACATCGACGGGGGGGTTAGGAGTGGTGTGGCCACCTGGTCGAGGAGCGGCGGTCACTTCTGTATGACCTGTCTCTCGATCTTGTCCTGTTGCTCCTGCGACTGGAGCTGCTGCAGCGTCAGCAGCGAGACGCCGAGCTGGTCCTCGCGCGTGAACGGCTGAGCCATCTGACGTAACCACCGCTTGCAAATCTGATGATAATAATATTGTTGCATCTACATATCTTTTGTGTACGAAAAAAGTGGCCATCTAGGGGCCATCCATAAATTACGTCACACGTTAGAAGGGGGGGGGGGGGGGGTTAAAAAATCATGAACTTTTACGTAATTTACGGACGGCCTCATATCATCTGTTGTTGACTTTTTGGAAGTCGACGTTTAAAAATCGACCCCTATTAATTAACGCAAATTTTTGCTTACAACATTCGAGATACTGTAAATTGTGTTGTGTACGAACTTATGACTAGTATTTTAGTAAGATATACCACAGTTCCAAATATTATTTTGAAATTACTATTTTGTATCAATAGGAAAAAGAACTGGGGATAGTATTTTTAAAGTAATTTAGCTGGGAGGGTCTACAGTGTGTTTCATTTTGGCAAAGTGGTTTCATGTCCGAAATAGTTTGGGAATCCCCGATCTAAGGTGTGTGTAGTTATATCCGTGTTCCCGTTACCTGCACCGCCTCCTCGGTGCTGAGGTTGCACAGTGAATCCTTGAGGTGCTCCTGTATCCAGCGCGGCAGTTTGGAGCGCTTGTCCGCTCGGCTGAATCGCTTGTCCGCGAATATCATTATGCCGTAGTCCGTTTTACCCCTGCACCAAATACCATGTCTGTTAACTAACTTCATATATTATTTTTTCGACAAAAACACTGTATAATTTAAAAAAATGGGACAAGCCTTCTCAAGAATATTCCGTGTACAGTATATTGCGGTCACTTTTACAAACGTTCATTAAAGTTTAATGACGACTTTAAGTTCAAATTAATGTTCTGAAGAAATTTTGCATCGGCATTTAACTAATGAAAATTTTAATTACATTAGATTGGTGTGTAAATAAGTGCACAAACAAAATGCTCGCCAGTATCCAAAAACGAGCAAAAAAAGTCACGTCATTGGAGCCCGCTGAAATATTTGTTTTTTTAGTATTTGTTTTTAAAGCGGAAATATATCATCTGTGTAAATTTCAACTGTCTTACTTTCACGGTTCATAAGATACAGACTGGTGACAAACAGACAGCATAGTTTTAGTAACATGTTTTCTGTTTTACCCTTTAGGTACCGAACCCTAAAAACTGAAAAAGGCTTAGGTATTTTCTAAAATACCTATTGTATGGCTGTTTCTTTTTATAAAAAAGAGATCACTTAAAAATCATACAATACAAGCTTAGTGTTTAATTTCAAAATCTATGGCAATCCGTTTCAATTGTGATAACGATTTATGGAATTAAACTTTTAAAGACGCAATTGCTTTTAGATCGAATGATGATTTGAATTTCAACACAAGTTACCTTCGAGTACAATTGAAGTCATAAATTAAAAATAATAAAATTTACCCTACTTATAATGTTACCTCTTTACCCGGCCCTGACCACCTTATTGTCTCACCTCAATGCTCTGCCGACGCACTGCGCCGCGTGACGCATCGCATCGAATGTCAAGAAGTCATTCTCGCGTATCTGGCCGTTGGTAATAAAAATAATGTTATTTTCAACAATTTTCCATTATACATAATATATTACTAATAGTAGGGGAGCTGAAGCGGGGATTTCGGGATTTACTAAAGCGCGGCAGATTAATATACAGGGTGATACCTTGTACCCAGTTAAGTACCTGGACCAAGTATGAGCCCTATAAAAATGGCCGCCCGGCAAGGACGAAGGATCAGATTAATAAAAAAAAATTGATCATCTGAAAATCTCGAGCGCGTCAGATTAAGGTAAGGTGAGCTAGTTACATGCTAAAAGGTGTACATACCTCTAATCTGACAATTTGAGAGTGACGTAAAGAAGGGGGAAGGCTACAAAGTTGTAAAAAAAAAACGTCACTGACATTCTAGAGCGTGGCTAATTTTTTTTTATTTTGAAGGGAATCATTCAAGGATTACGAAAAATATATAATCTGACGATTGTCATAAGCCGAAGTAATAAAAATTCATCGATAAGATTTAATGCGTTTAAGTTACGTGATACCTATATTTCCTTCTCCGCATCACTATTTCTCTCTCTTTTTCTATCTATTACTCTCTCATTCCATCCCCACTCTGGTTTCGGTTGCCATGACGCCATGACAGCTGATGACACAGACTCGTTCGTGGCGTGATATTGTTTACATCGTATTTCCAACGTTTAAATTTTGTGAATTAAACTTTTTACATATTTATTAAGAGAAGAAGAGGAAGATGATTCTAGCGATGAAGATGATAATTAATAAAAAATACTGTAAAAATTTAATTTTCATATAATCATTTTCTTATAAATATAAGTATTTTACATTAAAAAACATACACCTTTTTATTTGCATGCTAACTCCGGTGCTTTTCTATCTAATTAAGCTCAATGATTTGAAAAAATTAAAAAAAAAAATTTAGTTTCAGTTTAAGTAAATCCCTTCAGATAATCGTCAGATTATGAGATATCACGTCTGGGGCATAAAGACAAACCATATACAACGTGTCCCAAAATTCAACGATAAGCGGGCGCCAAGAGGTAGACCTGCTCATGTGTACTTATGGAAAAATAAGAAAAAAATTATATCTTATTAATCTTTTTTCTTTTAAAATAAAATTCGAAAATTTTCGAAAGAGTTGTAGCGAATAGTAGTGCTACTTAGGTATCCGATACCAAAAAAAGATTGAACATAATTGAGAAGTTGTGGTCGTGGTAGTTGAAAATATCATAAAAGGTGTAAATTTTCGAAGATTTTCGAATTTAATTTTATAATAAAAAAGATTAGATATAATTTTTTTCTTATTTTTCCATAAGTACACATGAGCAAGGGTACCTCTTGGCGCCCGCTTATCGTTGAATTTTGGGACACGTTGTATATCTTAATCAGACGCGCTTGAGTATTTCAAAATGGCGATTTTTTTTTGCACATTCTAATAATGGTCACGCGTTTGCGTCACATCCAAATCGTCAGATTATTATATGAGAGCTTTTTTTTAGGTTCACTTGACATCCCCTCAAAAAATCTGACGCGCTCGATCAAATAATTTTTTTTGTCATTTTCAACCCTTACGTATAACCACCCCCATCATGGAAACGATCAGATTAACATACGACAGTTTTTAAAAATGCGTAGGACATGGATGATATTAATATCTGACGCGTTCGAGTATGTCCATACAACAGTTTTTTTTTTACATTTTTGAAAATCTATAGCCGCTTCCCCCACCGATGAAAAGGTATATATTATATGAAAATTTTTTTTTGTTATCATCTAAGTTTCGCAACCCAATAGGTCTCTATGACGCTCGAGTAAATCCCGATTTAGCATCGTGGGCTTCCCTACTATAATTAATTTCTTATATTTTCACGCGCACTATCCATAAATTAAACACCTTAAAGACAATCAACATGAAACAATGAAAACGGAACCTGTAAAGGGTCCGAAACGTCAATAAAACTAAATACAAACGCAATGAAACCGTTCAAAAGTTGTTTAATATATCACTAATAAATTAACTTTTTCAAAATTTTTCGTTCGGTATTTACACAAAGTTTTTCTAGAATATTATGTTATGTTCGAGAAAAGTGTTTAAATAATTCACCAATCTCTGATGCCCAAAATGGGATATGTGTCCGTTCGTTTACCTGGAACTGGTCGCGCAGGTAGTCGAGCCTCGCCTTGAGTATGCGACTCTGCGTGAACACGTACGGGATCCCGAACATGAGCACGGCGCGGCCCAGGTGGTGCTCGAAGTCCACGCCCTCCGACACCTTCCCGCGCGCCACCGACAGCAGCACCCCCCCGCGCCCGCTCTCGCACGCCTGCACCCACACACGTCCCCATCATACAGCACCCCCCCGCGCCCGCTCTCGCACGCCTGCACCCACACACGTCCCCATCATACAGCACCCCCCCGCGCCCGCTCTCGCACGCCTGCACCCACACACGTCCCCATCATACAGCACCCCCCCGCGCCCGCTCTCGCACGCCTGCACCCACACACGTCCCCATCATACAGCACCCCCCCGCGCCCGCTCTCGCACGCCTGCACCCACACACGTCCCCATCATACAGCACCCCCCCGCGCCCGCTCTCGCACGCCTGCACCCACACACGTCCCCATCATACAGCACACACACGCGCGCGCGCGCACGGCGCTTACATTTAGACAATATATGGAAACATTTTGAATTAAGAACTCTATGTGAAGCTCGAAGAAATGCTTTACTCAGGTCTGTAATATTTCACATCTATTTGATTATGCGAGCCCATTGATTTTATTAACATTTCAGTAAATGAAACTCAGTTAATGCATGCAGATAACTTCTAAACTTTTCAACAATGTTACACGTTAGGTTACTTCATAAAAAACCTATACACAGAGAGTATAAGAAAGGTGCAGTGGAATTTAAAGAGACACCAGTGTCCCTCTGACCTTTCGTGCAAAATATCGTTATCAGATACATATATCAGACCACTTAGAAATTTTAATCAAATTTTTATATATGAATAGTTACACTTATTCTTCTTTGTCGCCGTCTACATCCTTCAATCGTAAAATGGTGTTAAGATATAAATAGGGCGCTATATATGTCAAAAGCTACCCCTACTCTGACTTTTCTATATAGTATCCTTATCCCTGACTTCCTAAAGTTCCACTGCACTTAATTAAAAGCTCTTAATCTTATCTGATCTTTCGTGTAAAGGATCGCTATCAGATACATAATGTCTCCCTAAATTCCACTACACTCCCTGTATAGATAAATCAACAGCTTACCTTGATATAATTAACGAGAGCGAAGCTGGTTTCCGCAGAGTCTTGTGTTTCTATGAACAGCAGTTTGTGCCTCTGCAGGCTCGCTACTACCCCTAATTTAATAACATTTTAATGTATGATTAAACCAATTGCAAAACAAATATATTGTATGTCTTATTTAACTAACATTATTTTAAAATCTGTCAAAATAAATCAGATTTTGCAGTGAAATTCATCGAATATGGGGTGTAGAGTTATCTTGTGCAGACCAGACTCACAACAAATAATGTCAAACAAAAGTCTAAACGACGATTCAACGTTGTCGTAAGCCTCAGTGAACACAAATATATCTCTAATAAGCTGTTTATGTGCTAACAAGTTGTTTAGAAGTTTAGCTATAGTTTGGGCGGTTATAGTTATAAGTTAACGTTACTACTTTAACATATTCGTTAATGTTAAAATAAGTTCACCAACTCGCTAAGTCGCACACGATCGACCAATGAGCTCCCCGGAGCAAGCGACCGATATGGCACCTAAAAGGAGGTATCAATCTATGTACTAAATACAAAAACAGGTTTGACTTGTTACCTTGGTCGTACCAGGCGCCGACCACGCTCTCCAGGTACATGTAGGACGTGAAGAAGCACACCACGCCGTCCGGCACGCACGCGGCCACCTGCACACGTGCGCACATCAGCATCAGCCTTCCTTATGGACGGTTAGAGGAATCGCAGGGCATTAACGTCCTCCAAATGCAGCCGGGACTGACGGCCTGACGTGCCCTCCGAAGCAGGGAGGAGCTCGACATAATATATTTGTCGATCACCCATTGTTCAATCCCAAAAAACTTTACTTGAATGGGGCAAGATGATATCAATGAAACCACCGTTCAAGTGAATAGATTCAATTTTATGTTCAAAAAGAAACCTTATGATCTATGACTTATACATACTAGCAGAAATCTTAATACCGCGATTCAGAACAGATCAAACAATATGTTAAACAAATGGCGACATCTAGTTTTAAGTATGAATAAACCACACCTACAGTTTACTGATAATCATGTATATATAAAACTAATTTACTTCAATAACTACGCTAATGCGTTAACATACCGCCTCCCATGGACCCGCATGGTCCATACAAAATAAAAATAAAACCACACCACGAGCAAATACAAAGGGCGTACAAACAAAAACTTTATGTAAGGTAAGTTTTACATTTACAGTGTTTTTTTTTTTTTTAAATCTAATAATAGTACATATTTTAATTCAGCAAACTAACATTTAACACAACCACCATCTCATCTTAGATTTGAATTTTTACTCTGCTTTGGGAAGCACCCTCACTTTAGACAAAGGGCGTTTGATTACACTGGACCCCTTGCATTTTATGCTTACTACTCTCGTTAAATCATCAGATCCTGAATGCTTTTCAACAATCACTCCATACAACCATCGACTTGGAGGTAAATCGTCCTCCATGATCAGAACGACGTCGCCAACTTTAGGTTCCGACAAAATGTTACGCCATTTGTACCGATGGAAAAATTGGGTCAAGTATTCTTTCGACCACCGTCGCCAAAACTCTTGAACCATTCTTTGAGTTAATTTCCATCTACGCAAATTGGTAACATTTGAATTTTCATAATTATGGTCAGGCACCAATACCAATGGTTCTCCAATCAAAAAGTGACCAGGTGTTAACGGATATGGATCCGAGGGACCAACATCAGACATCTGTGCTATTGGCCTTGAATTAAGACAAGCTTCAATTTGAGACAACAGCGTCGTCATTTCTTCGAAAGTAAGTTTTGATTCTCCTATGACTCGTCTTACATGATACTTCGTAGATTTAATTCCAGCCTCCCATAGGCCTCCGAAATTGGGTGAATGAGGTGGAATAAAATTCCACTTAGTGTTATTGGTTGAAAGCCAGTCTGCAATTTCGACTACTAACTTTGATCTTTCACTTTGAAACAAGTTCTTTAATTCACGAGCGGCACCTATGAATATAGTGCCGTTGTCACTCCACAGCTCAGCACAGTACCCACGACGAGCAGTGAAGCGTTTAAATGCAGCAATGAAAGCCTCGGAAGTCATGTCACTGACCATTTCTAAATGTACGGCCCTTGTAGCCATACATACAAAAAGACAAATATATCCCTTTGTAGTATGAATACCTCTGCCCTTTGATGATCTAACGACAATTGGACCCGCGTAGTCGACTCCGCTGCGATAAAACGGCCTTGCTGGAGTAACTCTCGCTTCTGGAAGTTGACCCATCAATTGATGACTTGGACGTGAAGAGAATCGAATACATCGTGTGCATTTCCGTATATAACTCTTTACTTGCCCTTTCATATCAATTATCCAATAATGTGACCTTAAATAATTAATCGTAAGCTGGACTCCACCATGTATAGTCCGTTCATGGGCGTCTGCTATAATCAAAGTTGTTAAATGAGATTTTCGAGGTATTAAAACTGGATGCTTAAAATTCTCACTAACTTGAGCATTTTGTAGCCTTCCACCAATCCGTATTATGCCTACTTGATCTAAATAAAGATTTAATGTCGAAGTGGAATTAGACTTAGGTATAGACTTATTTTTTAGAATACATTCTACTTCTTCCTTAAAAAACTGACCCTGATAATATTTTATGCAGATATTTAATGTTTCACGTAATTCATTTGTTGTAAGCCATAGCGGAAAGGATGGTTTTGACCCTGAATAATGTGTTAGTTTGAAAAACCTAAAACAAAGTGTCATTACTCTTAATAATCTGCGCAATTTAGAAAATCTCGTCCAAATTTCCTCATTGTTTTCAGATATTGCACAATAAACAATCGTAGATCGTTCTTCAAGATTAGTGTCTTGATTTTCTAGTGGACTGTATTTTATAAAGGATTTCTTTAACCAGCATGGACCCTCTTTCCACAAGCGTTCATTAGAGTCATCCAAAGTAGTAATACCTCTTGATGCGCAGTCAGCAGGGTTTTCCTGAGAACGAACATGTGACCATTGACTTCTATCGAAATTTGTTAGTATTTCTGACACTCTATTTCCTATAAAGGTCTTCCACCTACTTGGGTGACTACTTAACCAGGCCAACACAATGGAGGAATCAGTCCAAGCATGAACGTGAGACTTTGGTATCGAGAGCACTTCGGATACCTCCAGTAATAACTTAGATAAAAGAACTGCTCCACACAGTTCTAGACGTGGGATGGTTACTTGTTTTATCGGGGCCACCTTTGTCTTCGAAGTTATAAGATGAACATGAACACTGCCCTCGCGATCAACCACACGTAGAAACACTACAGCAGCATATGCTATATTAGATGCATCGCAGAAGCCATGCAACTCTCTACATAGATCATCATGGCGAATATTTACCCATCGAGGAATACGGAAGGTAGAAAGTAGTGAGAGATTATTTCTGTATACTAGCCATTCCTGCATCAGATTTGGTGGTAGTTCTTGATCCCAATCGATACCAGCTATCCACAGTTTCTGTATTAAAACCTTGGCTGTTATGATGACTGGAGCGATCCATCCTAAAGGATCGAACAATCGTGATATATCTGAAACCACTTTTCTTTTTGTGAGTGGTGAAGTTACATCAGGTAATTTAATGGAATATTCGAAGGAATCAGTACCTTTATCCCACGTTAACCCAAGAACCTTTTTTATGTCATTTCCTTTGAACTTTATTTCAATATTTATTTCGTTGTCTTCGTTGTTTTTTCCAATCTTATCTAGTAATTCTTGGCTATTGCTAGACCATTTTTGAAGCTCAAATCCTCCCTTATTTAATAAATTATTCATCTCTTGATATAACTGAATCCCTTCAGAAACTGTTTCACAACCACTCAAAAAATCATCCATATAAAAATGATTAATAACTCTTTGAGCTGCTAAAGGATAAGCTCCACCTTCATCTTCGACAAGTTTTTGTAACGCCTTAACAGCTAAATAAGGAGCTGATGCCGTACCAAACGTAACTCTAAGAATTTTCAAAGTTTTCAAACCAGACTCATCTCTCCATAATATCCGCTGAAAATCTGAGTCTGAATCGGCAACTTTAACCTGACGATACATCTTAACGATGTCTGATGTCAGACTTATCGGGTGAGTACGCCATTGTATAATAATATGACGAAGTTCTGCCTGCAAAGTCGGCCCTACCATTAGTTCGCTATTTAATGAAACGCCGTTGCTACCAGGACAAGACGCATCAAACACGATTCTTAATTTCGAAGTGGATTTATCCTCTCTGATGACAGCATGATGAGGTAAATATACTGTATCTACCATTTTGCATTCTTCTGGAGGAACTTCTTTCATGTGGCGAAGTTCCAAGTATTCAGAAATAATAGCTGAATACTGCTTTTTGAAAATTGGATCTCTATCAAACCTCTTTTGCAACAACTGTAATCTTCGTTCAGCGATATTTCTAAAATTGCCATATTTGCATTGTGGATTGTTAGTTCGAAATGGTAGCTTTACTACATACCTTCCAGTTTCGTCTCTACGAGTTGTCATCTTGAAATGTTTTTCACAGAGAATTTCTTCTTCTGACAAACATTTTCCTTTCATAGCAATAGGTTCTGCTTCTAATTCCCAAAACTTACGCAAAATATCATTTTCATTTATCTGAGTATGCAAACTAATAATAGTGTGACATGATGTAGAATCATCTAAAGAATCTGTATGAATCTTGCCAGATAAAATCCACCCGAGTGTGGTTTTTTGTGCTACAGGGTAACCCGGAGGACCTTTGAGAATACCGTCTTCTAAAATCTGGCCGTAGACTTCTGCACCAAGCAATATGTCAATTCTATTTGGTATGTAAAACTGTGGATCAGCTAATTTTACTTCAGCCAAGGCGGGCCACGGTTTAAAACTTACCTTTTTTGAGGGAATCAAAGTAGTCAATTTACTTAACACATGAGCTTTGACTTCCATGACTATGAGAGGATTGTATAGTGACCGAATTTTAACATAAACTACAGATTTCGATGCTACAGAGACATCGTTGTCTGAGCCACTACCAATCCCTGAAATAATAACTTTACTAGGAATCTTTTTTAGCCCTAGTGCTTGTACTGTTCCCTCTGTAATAAAAGATGCTTGTGAACCTTGATCTAACATACATCTTACTATATCTTCTCTCCCAGTTTTTGAAGTCGCCTTTACCAATGTAGTGGCTAGCAAAACCTGACTTGAAGATTTTGAAAAGTGGGAAATAACTCTGGAACAATCTTTTGAATCTTCGGGTTCAGTGGTTGCTACCGAAACTGAAACATTTTTATCACCTTGATCCTTCTCTTCTTTAGTCGAAGATGTGTTTACAGTTATTTTGGAGTGAAGTAGAGAATGGTGTTTCTTTTTACAAATACGACACCTTGAGAGTTGGCAGCAAGAGTACACTGAGTGATTTGGCCCTAGACAATTAAAACACAACCTATTTCGTTGAACAAACTCTCGGCGTTCTCCTAAATCCGACTTAGAGAAAGCTTTGCAATTACAAAGCTTATGATTTTCATTGCAAAACTGACATGACACTGTAGTTGTATGAAGTGACGTTTGAACATGCGTGATATGACTTGATGCAATGTTACGAACTGAATTAAGTTTACTTACTTTAGGTGCTAAAAATTCAAGGGATCTAAATCTATGCTCCATAAAATCATTAAAAGTTTCAAGAGTCGGTAATTGATCAAAAGTTTCGCTTGCTTTTGCTTCCCATAATTTTCTGGACTCCGGATCTAATTTCTGACTGATGATATGGATAACAATAATGTCCCAAGTAGTAGTATCAATTCCAAGATTAGTCAAAGCATGTAAACATTCGTTTGTAGTATCTAATATACCCTTAATCGCAGTAGAAGATTCTACTGGCAATGGCTTAATACTCATAAATCGTTTTAATATATTATCTGATAAATATTTTTTATTATCATATCTATGTTGTAACTGATCCCAACAAGTTTGATAGTTGGCCGAAGTGATTGGTACATGACGTAAAAGATTTTCTGCTTCGCCTGTCAAGTGGCTCTTTAAATAATGAAGTTTTTGAACTTCATCTAACGAATCATTCTTGTGGATCAATGAGACAAATAAATCTCTGAAAGAAGCCCATTCTATATATAGTCCAGAAAATATGGGAATTGAGATCTTTGGTAATTTGACATGAGATGATATACCCGGTTTTCGAACTTCACCTACTACTTCAGTTTCTGTTTTACGACTTATTATTAAAAGTTTGTTTAGATTTTCCTTTAATAAAGTTTTATAATCAAAGTAAAGTTCCTCTGTTTTTTCATAAATTTCATTTGTATAATACTCAGACTTCTGTAAATCAACAATGGCATAATCGGCTATTAATTGACGATGAGTATCACAAAAAGTTTGCCACTGCTGATCCAATGCCTCTAGACGTGTTTCAACATATGGTACCGTAATACGATCTTTACTCGACTTTTTGAAGTTAACTTTAGCCTTTGATATTGTGGATTTACAATCATTTTGAAGCTTAATTAATGCCTCCATTTTTTTTGTTTTTTAATACAATTTTAAACCGCAAATAACTTATACCAACTTACAATAACTGTCTTAAGAAAGAATTCTTTAAAATTTTCTAAGTGTTTACAATTTTGACACTTAGAAAAAATCGGGCATGGATTCCCCGTCTGTTAATTTTTAGAGAAATTATTCTAAGTTAAAACTACACAATAACAAATTATTTTAAGTCCAAAAACTCATCTAAAAATTTAAAGTAATATTTTTCTTGTAAATAAAGTTCAAATTGCTCCAACTTTAATCCTCTTCTTAAATTTCACCAAGTTAATTCTTCTATGTATATAAGGTTCAAAGTACTTACAATTCTCACGTCACTTCACTTACTGGCCGTCATGTAAACAATTGGTTTCAAAACTTCAAATTTGTTCCCGCACTTTTACACCTCTTTATATCGCCACCGATATCGTATTTGCTTTTCCGGTTCCGCTGCCAGTGCCTGTGTGTTGCTCGACTATATCTGAAAGGCCTGGCTTAAACTCCAGGAAAAGCACCATAGACAACAATCGGCCGCCTGATCGGTGCGAAAATGGATATTCACAAATCTCTCAAGAATGCCTATTCCGGCTCTGAGGGACCTTGTTCAATCCCAAAAAACTTTACTTGAATGGGGCAAGATGATATCAATGAAACCACCGTTCAAGTGAATAGATTCAATTTTATGTTCAAAAAGAAACCTTATGATCTATGACTTATACATACTAGCAGAAATCTTAATACCGCGATTCAGAACAGATCAAACAATATTATGTTAAACAAATGGCGACATCTAGTTTTAAGTATGAATAAACCACACCTACAGTTTACTGATAATCATGTATATATAAAACTAATTTACTTCAATAACTACGCTAATGCGTTAACACCCATCCTATGATGGACCCTTGCGAAAGTTGATCGACAACGACGACCGCGGGACGCGGCGCTTACCCCGGTTCTTATTGTTTGAATCATGTCGGTGAAGATTATTATCTGTGCATCGGAGACAGGGCAGGGTCCTGCCTCCGAAGACTCATTAGTATTTTGAAAATAGATGAAATTTTGTTTTCCTAAACAACTGTGGCACTAATGTGCCATCCCTACTTCATAGGGACCTCGCCTTTGATTAGAAATTACAAAGATACAACACTTTCGTACAAAAAATATATCGTAAGTTAGTATGGAATTATAAGTAATATTATTTTTTTTATCTAGTTAATTGTTCTATTAACCATATTAAGCCGCGCAAAAAAATGTTCACCTAGAAATAAAAACACCTGTAGATATATTGTGAAATACATACCTCCACCAACAACTGTCCATAGTTCCTTATAACGGCAACGTCTTCTCTTGATTCGTATTTAGACGAAATGGCTACTTGGTCACTTCCTTTAGACACTATCTGGAAACATGTCAATTTGTTAGAAAAATGTTAGATTCATTCATTCATTTGAAATTATTATGCGCTGGACAATAATGAACTCTATGGCCCCGTTAGGTACACTCGATTTGTATTAACAATTTTTTTTGCAAATATTGGTCGGGAGTTCTCTTGGTCTTTGAAAAATATGATTGGGGTTGAGCTACGTCGCTTTTTTATGTCGCTCGGAACCGCTCTTTGCTAGAGCGAGAAAAATAAGAAAAAGAAAGAAACAAAAATAATTTATAATGTATAAACAGCGGGTAGGTGTACAGTAGCACGTCTATCAGACAGCGCATTATTTTTCTTGCTGTAGTAAAAGGCTAGGCTAGTCTAGTCTTGACGACCGAAAAGGCGAGAACCCATGTAGGTAGTCCTGGGTGCGTTTCTATGACAACTTTAATATATTAATTGCAGACATCCTTGGCAGCAGTTTTACTATGGTGTGACATTTCAAGTTTGTATTTGTACTTTTTTAGAATTCACATCCGCCGAATTTATTTAATTCACAGTGTACACACAGCAGCACATTACGTTACTACAAGCGGCCAGAGTAATATATTTTGAACTTAAGTATCGACAGATAAAGACTCGATAATGATAACTTGTAAAAACTTGACGTGCTGTCGACTGTACACTGATTTGTACAGTGTAAGATTACCATCGGCAAGATACAGGGCCTGGCGAGCGTCATCGTGAACGAGGTGGAGACGACCGGGTTGAAGTCGAGGATCTTGGGGTACATGTCGAGGGGGGACAGGGTCCCCGACGTTATAATCACGGATTGGAACCGAGCGAACACTGGACGCATCGCTATAGACGAGTCCATGCATCTGATCAACAATGAGCCAACAGTTAGGGCCAGCGGACACTAGTGATTATTAGTATAGAGCTATATTTAAGTGCATGCATTTGCCGATAAGAAATTAACTGATCGAACGATCTAAAAACGTTGTAGTTCTTGTTGCTGTTGCTGGCTTAGAAGTGCGATTATTTACTCACTAATCGACGAGGTGCGCCCGCTACAAGACTGCACTGATGACAGAGAGTTCGATCGCAACCGGCGTATGGTAGCGACTAAAAAATATATATATATCCAATCCGTACCGGATACAACAATAATGTATTGTCTAGTTAGCTCTTCTGTCTTATATTCAACCATCATTAGGTCGGAAAGAGGTTAAAGAATATTCTTAATTAAAAAATCGTTGTTAAGCAACTTTCGCAACATCTCGAGCTACTTCCTGCTTCGGAAAGCAGGTTAAGCCGTTGGTCTCGGCTGCATTTGCAGTCGTTAATTTCCCTCCGATCCGCATTGGGCCAGCGTAGAGGGTCATGGCCCATCCTCCTTAACCATCATAAGGAAGGCCTGAGCCCCTGCAAAGGGGAACGTAAAAGGGCTGATGATGATGAATGTTAAAAAATAAAATGAATATCGTAGAGTTCGAGAACTCACGAGAAGTGCAGTATAGGGTTGGAGACGGTGGGCGTTTTGTCGTCGAAGGGCTCGATGATGATGGTGAACCCCTTGGTGTAGGTGGCCACGAGCGTGGCCAGATGCGTGACCAGCGTGAGCGCGGCCACGCGCGACGGGTCGGCCACCTGCAGCGCGCGCAGCAGCGACGACAGCCGCGCCGCGCAGAAGCGCAGCGGCTTGCGCTCTATGCACACACGACTCGACACGTCCTTCAGAAAGCCTGCCCACAGAGTACGGGTGTGTATATCACACTTTTATGCTTATATTACTTTATGCTCGTTGTCACGTGATAGCAAACAGCGCGGAACTTAAAAGAAACTTAGAGAATTAAGAGCCCTATTAGAAAATTTGCACTGTGAGATTAGGTGTTATGAAGCGTCCCGAGTTCTCGATAACTTGTTCCAAATCACTAATCTACAATACTGTGTTGAAACTACGATCAAGTTATTTTGGTAGTTTTGCCCATTTTTTTGTACATTTTTTATCATTTCTATGATATGATTCGTCACCGATTTCCGAACATTTTAACACGATTGCCCAAGAAATGCAGTCTCTTGTATTTAGAGTTAATGTACGTATGTGAGTTTTATTCCACCATAACTTTTGAAAGCCAGCACACAGACAATCTTACCATATTATTAAAATATATCCAATTTGACAAAAAAATACGGCAATATCTCTCCCATATAAACTAGTGAAAGCGTCTGATTTGCGATTGATAACCTCCTCAATCAAAAGTGACGATCGCAAAAACCGGTAATCGAATGGTTGGTAATTTTTTTTTTTTCTATTTAGGACGAATTAAGAATACCTTGTGTGTGCTTTAGCACCACCGATCCACATTGGGATTTTTATGCGGGCCCAATTAGGAATAGATTAATTTTATCCATTAATAATATCAGTAATTTTGCACCACCAGTCTTAATTGAACCTTTAACGCGGGCTCAGTGAGAAATGCTGTTTGGAATGGTTTTATCTATTAAGAATATCTATGATTTAGCACCTTCAATTCGCATTGTGACCTACACGCGGGCCCAGTAGGAATGCAGGATGGTTTCATCCATTAAGAATATTTGTGCTTTAGTGTTTTAAAAATGATACTTTTGTATATATACAAATTTATTTAGTAAAAAGCGGTTATTTTAATATTAGAAACATGCACTCTAATTTTATTTATTTGTATAAGTGTATTGGGAAAAGAAGTACCTTGCTTTATTTGCATTTCTTAATATATATACTGCTGGACTGACAAATCTCACTGCCAAGATTTTAGAAGAAGATATTAATAAAATTTAACTTTAAAAAGAAATGCAAATATTATCCAAAACTAGAAAAATATAAATACCGGAAAATGGTATATTTTAACCTTCTTATATTAACCTTCTTATACAATTATACCTAGGGATCTTTCGACCCATGCTAAAAACAACGAAATTTGTATTAGAAATAATTCAACAAGTAAATAAAAAAATACAACAAAACAACAATATATAGTCCATATAAAACAAACAGCAATCAGAATTATACTTACGTGATCAAAGTTGGAAGTTCCACAATACTACTCTATTAACGCTCGCTCGAACATACATCGATCCAATGTTCAGGAGCACTCGCGCAATACTGAGCTCGGAAAGCCGGTGCATCGCATTTTGTAGTGATTTTGCGTTTACATTTATCGTTTTTATTGAAATAAGATAATAAAATGGACGTAGTTAATCAAAAAGGATCCATCCCACACAATGTCACTTTTGAGATATTGACGATTGAAGTTTAAGCTGTATTTGCATGTTGATGTAACATTTTGTGTATTATATTTTTATCTAATAGCATAGGAAACCACTTACATTATCTTATTATAAAATCATTTTAACAGAACTAACAATATTTATTAAAATATAAAGGTTAAAGTATGTTTGGATTCTTTTTGATATATTTAGGTTTTAATTACCTTATTCTTACAAAACAAATCTCAAAAACGATCCAATTGAAGAAATAATTTTCAATATTATCGTAGATAATAAGAGAAATTCACAGTTAACTTCAATCAATTTTGATGTCTGTTTGGTTTATAATATGATTCTTTCTCTATATTTAATCAGTGCTATTACAAAATTTCAAGGCCGCTACGAACAATATGACTATATAAAAGATATCTTTCTATTTTTTTTTAATTTCATTTGTTTAGAACAGCAGTAATCCAGGAGCTCATTAAGTGTCATCGCGCATTTTATGTTTTTCTCTGCTATTTTGCGTTTAATTAAAAAGATAAGCAAAATTTCCAAAAAGTGAAGCCGCTACGAACTATGACGAGATTTATTCTGCACTATTCAATAGGTCAAAATTATTAATATATTTTTGTTTCCGGGATCGAGAACGCCAAAATTGACCATTTTAAGAAAACACAGTTGAGATATAATAGGGCTCTTAAACCTTATGCATACATAGAACGATAGTTTCAGAGGGCCCTGACGTTATAGCGACGCCATAACAGAAGTAGGCGTTTTCACGGGAAATTTTGTAATATAAAATTGTTCTTTTTTAGTTCATACCTGCGGGTGACTCTTGTACCACGTGTTGTATCCTCAGTCGCGTTTTGAGATATTCGATGAATCTTTTCAAGAAGCACAGGAAGTGTTCTGCATTTCTAATATTTCCCGGAACCACTTCTACAATTCAAAACGTAACGTAACTATTATTATATATAGAATTTTATATTTAACACAATACAAAATCTAAAACAAGAAAATATAAACTCGTACTATGCGTACGAATAATATGACACCTGAAAATCTATTCCATTTCTCTGTCATGAAGTCTGTTCGGTAACAACGTGAGTTGCCATCAACAATGATTTTTGTGTAAACATTAGGTAAGCAGAATTAGTGGGGTTGGATCCGGCGGGCTCTTTACTAGATCCCGGGACTTCGCAGCGGGTTTTACCAAGTAGGCCGGTCTAGCTTTAGCCTGTCCATTTCAAGATGGGTTATTATCTCATAAAAAGGGTTGGCAGAATGGGAGCGGCAATCGACAGCCAGTTAAGTATGTAGACAGGCGCGGGTACCGTCGAGCACCTCGTCGGGCAGCACGGGGTTGGCCAGCAGCACATCCGCGTCGCGCGCTGCCGCCGCCTCCCTCAGCCCGGCCACCAGCCGTTCGTACTCCTCTGTCAGTCGCAAGGCGTCTTCTTCGCGAATCCTACATGCGATTAAATTCCGTCAAAATTGGTATTAGTTTAAAGCTAGATTACTGATACAAATTTTCAAATTTAGAACATTCATCATTAGAGTTTAAAGTCACTGTTAAACCTTAATGGACATTCGTGCAACTACATGAAAGGTTGGTAATGACAATGGAAATCAAACCTTTCAAAAATAAAATACATTTATAAAACTCAATGAGTATTTTAATTCTATCACCTACGGGTAACTTCTTCATATGCAGGTGACATAAGCTACAATTTACTATTTAACAGTTATTTTTGAATAAAATATACAGTTGATCATACTGTGCCACGGTCTTTTCCAATTCCTGTAGAGCTTGTGTACTCTTGTCAATAGTTCTCCGTGTAATCTTGACACTAAGGGAGTCTATACACACGTTATCAATGTTATGTGCTTCATCAAACACTACCACGGCTTCTTTGTTCAATTCTTTAGATACAACTTCTGCAATCTTTGGGTCTAGAAGATAATGGTATGAATATACAACTATTTCGGCATGGATTATCTGTGAAAAATTAATAGCACTGTTAATTAATGTTACATACATAACACATGCCCTTTAGAGACATAAGACACAATGTACATAATACGAAATTAAATTCTTACAGCAAATCTTGCTAAGAAATATGGACACCAATTCCGGTCTGCTCCATACTGTTTGAGATCATCCATTGTATACACTCCAAAGGGCAACATAGATTCTTTGCCTTCACGGTTGAAACCTTCATAGAACTGGCCTTTGAAAGAATTTTTTTTAAATATTTAACCAATTTTAATATCTAATTAAGTAGGTGTGCCCCAGCAGTGGAGACATTAAGAGTCTGATTGTGATAATGATGACAGTAGGTAAACATAAACATTAACTATTAAAGTTATCATTTAGTTTAAAAAAAAAACTTAGCTAAATAATATGGTACAAAATAAAAGTAGTAGTTACTTTAACCCTTCAAACCTGACACCACACATTTAAAAAACGAATGCAAGCACATGCATCATCGCTAAAGTAGACTTTAACTGCCTGAAAATAAGAAGAATTAGCGGGGTTTCACGGAATGGCGCAATAGTCACGTGACCGGCCGAATTCGGCCGATCGCGTGCTGAAGGGTTAATGTTCTAAAAAGCAAATAAAATGGTTTCAATATAAATTTTACTTGATCACGAACAAACTTAAAAGTTAACTCACAAATAGGCACAGTGCTATCTCGTTCATGTCTATCCCTAATATAACTAGCTGTCAAAGAGTGGCACTTGCCATCCACCAGTTTTCCTTCTCTTTCTCTTGACACCTAAAATATGTAGCTCTTATTATATAATCATAAATATGGTCACAGGAAGCATTTCTTCCTGCAACATTCACCTGTGAATGGGCACTTTCAGTGGAAATTATTTTACTTTATATACTTAGTTACACTGGGATACCATATATTGAGGCTGTTCTTTTCTCCTTCTTTTGTATAGTAGAGATAAGTCCCATTGAAAATAGCTATCATTAGACTATAAAATCATTTACATTACAATGACAATCTTATCAGAAACAATTCAATTTTTCTTACTTCTGGATGAATACACAAATTTTTCCTAGAGCTTAGCACAAGTCCTGTGAGATTCGGCATCTCACCTTGGCTCTTTTCATAATATTTAAACAAATTTTTTAGCTCTTCTAACACTTTCTCTATTTCCGGCACAGTACGAGAACAATATATTAACTTCCTAAAACATAACAAACACTGTTAATCAATATACATTATATTTTAATTACATAAATAACAGTAAATCTACATTTACAGAAACTACTCTATATATAGGTGTCTTACCTGATGGCATGAGGGTTTTGTATCATGTATGCTACGATCAGAGACAAAAGTGATACAGTTTTTCCAGTCCCAGAAGGCATCTCTAATAGTCCATGGCCCTACAAATATTTCGCAGTTTTAGCACAAAAACCTTTTTTTTACTTTGTCCCAGTATAAATGATAAGCCCCTACCTTAGCATCCAGTGCACGTTTCAATTCTAACATATATGCATACTGTTCTGGATAAATGTAATCATATGGAAAATAAACAAGAAGACCATCAACAGTTAACCTAAAATACAATGACAACATTTATAAATACAAATTACATCAATACACTATACTAATTTACATGGTAAAATTTTCATACTTCATTCTTTCCTTAGAATAAAATACTTTTTTGAAAATCCACCGGTATACCGAAACGAAAATCAAAAACCTCAACTTTTCGTTGTTGCTCGTATTATTGTCAAAAAACACAAACTATCTAAGCAGAGCTAGTGTAGTGATTGTTGTTGTTATCAGTTGTCACTTGTCATACTGATATATTTACTCATGGCTCGATGCGTTACAAACGATATCGAATCAATCGTTGATTTAAATAGGGATTGACGCTTTTCTGAAAATTACCTATTTTAAATGGCTCTTTGATACATTATAAACACACTGTCAATATATTTCATGAGAATCTGTTCTATTTTTAATGAAAATAATTGTTAAAGTTTAAATAGCCAAAATCGCGAAAAAAAAACGCTGCTCTATTTGTCAAATAGTATTAAAGAAGAGAAATTGTATGTTTTGTATTTGTATCTACTCTGGTTTTGAGCTTCAAATTGTATGTATCAATACAAATTTTGCGTATCTCCAATAACTCTGTTTGGAAATGACAGCTTCCGGTTTATGTGTGACGCCACATGCCAGTAAACAGAACCTGTTGCGACGATAACCAATTACAGGGAGTTTTCGTCGTTCATTAAAATTCTTTAAAATGTTGCATTTTCTTTATGTTATTTAACTAAAGCTATCTGCTATAAGTTATAATTCTAAAAAATAAACCATATCAGATTATTATCTAACAGGGTGACCATAATATGCAAATTATTTTTAAAAGTGTCAAATACCCTATTGCATGTATGTATCCCGTTCCATTTAAAGTGGTACAAGATGTAAACAAATATAAAATGCCGGTTTTAGTGCTGTGATATTTTATTATGAATTTAATTAACTGAACTATATTATATCGCCATGGTGGCCATCTTTCATTCATTTCATTTTCATTATACATGTAAAAATTTATTTATTCACTTGACATTGGCAGAATTGAGCTACTTGCGCAGATAAGCGTGTAATTAAAAAAAAAAAGAAGAACTCAACTATCTCATTCAGTTACTGACTTTCTCCTTAAAACTTGTCCTAAATGTTTTCAGAGTATTATGACATATAATGAAATGCGTGTTAGTAAAAAATCCGTACATTATGACTCAGTTGTCATGGTTACTTAAATTGTTTACACAAGTTTACTTAATTAAATACTATATATAAATTTAAAGCGGGTGTTTCACAGTAAACAGATAATTTACAGTGTAAATCTGCCATAAATTATTGAACAATGACGTACGCTAATGTTGTTGAAACCATTCATTTTGTATGAAATTTATTTACATTACAGCAAGCAACACTTAGAATGAGGAAATATTTAAAAAAAGAAAGCACTAAAAACGCACCTCCATTAGATGGCGACTCTAGTAAAAGTTGATTTTTGCAGTCATTTCCATTCGTACGTACTACCTCCTATGTACTAACATATTAAACAACTGAAATTGAAAAGTTCGAAACTTAGATATAAAGACAAATATGAAAAAGTACAAAGGGAATATGAGTTGTTTATTGAGTTTTGAAAACTAAATTACTTTTAAACGGAAAGAAAATCGGAAGGCTTGTCACGAAGAAATCAAGAACGTACCGTAGCGACATCTAGTTTGATTTGGAGAACTAATGTTTTTTTTAAATACTTCCTCCAGTACAGTAGTTTTTGATAAACGTAATATATTGAATCATATATGTGGCGATATCTATTGTGGTTTTTAAGAACAAATATTTTTTGTAATCATGATTTTAGCTTTGAAATTTGTATTAGTTTTTAATATCATAATTTGTGCTTAATTTAATGATAATATGTTATTCTTAACCAATCGCATTTTTTTTAAATTAGACCTTTTGGAAAGCCCGTATAGCATGACTGTGTCGAGAAAAGTTTTTCTACATCAAAGATAGAAAAGTAGACAATACGCTTCGAGATCGTCATGCTATTCTTACAGGAATCACCATTGCTATCTTTACAGGAGCCACCATTGCTATCCTTACAGGGGCCACCATTACACGATTAGGAACAGACCTCTAGGAAGTAGGCTCTCCAAGTTTCAAAATTCAGTAGCCTTCGCCATTAGTACATATTAATAACATATGACTTATAAACAAGATCTTTTGAATAACGACTTTATGAAGCAATGTATAGATCTCAACTGTAACCGATATGTATAACGAGCTCAACATATCGATATTTTTATTGAAACTTGCATCTCCATCTCTACTCGAAACTCTAGTTGTTATTGTCATTTATTACGAGCAAAGAAACTATCTAGCCCATACAGCCCAGACCGAAATTACGTTTTTCTGATGTTATTTCATTAAAATATCTTATGTATAATATACAAATTTGATCAAATCAAGTCAAAAAATTACCATGAATAATTAAATAAATATTAGACAACATAGCATCTAAGCAATGTATGTGACATTGCTCAGATTCCAAGATGAGTAGCTAAAGCCCCCGTATTATGGGGTATCTGAAACAACGAAGGTATCACAACAACCAGACCAGAGACAATATAGAAAAGTTCATTTTCTACATTGACCCGACTGGGAATCTATACCAGAACCTCAGAGATGGCGACACCTTGAAACCAGTGTGCGAACCACTCGGCAACGGAGGTCGTTAAATTAGAATCCTACCTTGTTACCGATAAACATTTGCGATACGATCTTTTAAAATGTTAGGGTTTGTTTTAAGGGCGAGTCGCTATCGCTACAGGCACTTTTTTAAATTGCACGCATTCGTATTAGATAGTGAGGAATCGACTTGAAAACGCGTACTCAGCCAGAACCTTGAACAGGATTTGAACGCAATGCTTCTTTAGGTACAGTCAACAGCGTGCCAGGATATTCAAAACTGTCAAATTTCGCCACTTGATTTTAAATCGTAACTCATTATTTTAGAGTTCAAAATCGAATAAGGGAATTTGACATACATGCCTGATTTGCGGCCAAGCGTACTAATAGATTTGATTAAAACCTATCGGGCAATACGACATGCTTCGTCTCTACTAATAGGTGCAACTTAAAGATAGGAGGTCTTGCCTATCCATTGTTGAAATGTAGTGATATCTGTTATTGTAACATTATTTGCCTCAGATATCTCTTTAAATAGGTAACTTCGTAATGTGATAATAAAAGATGCTTCATGCGCGGGCAAGTCCCGTCCCGTGCCCCTTTAACCTTACTGATTATGAGGTGCGCACATAATCTTAAGTGCTTTGGTTACTTAACACGCTCTCGGGGTTAAATAATTCTCAAATAACATACATTAGAATAAAATGGTGAAAGTTGTAATAATAGGAGCTGGGATAAACGGACTGGCTTGCGCAATTAAAATTCAGGAACATTATAAAAATTCGGAAGTAAGATATTAACGAATTATGAAAGATATTCTTAATATTATCGATTATTATTAGTGTTTGTTAGTTTTATTCTGAAATCAAGCAACAACTCAACAGGTGGTAGTGCTATCTCGTGAATTTTCACCGAACACGACTGGTGATGGGTCGGGCGGATTGTGGTATCCCTACCTCTGTGGGACAACCTCTCAACGCCTGCTCAAGTAATAACTTTTATAATTTATAGAAATACTGGTATTATTATAAGTAAAAATTGCGATTGTAGATTGGAATGCAGTCATTATGGCTTGAGCTAACTTGATATCTTGAACCCTATAATATACATAATATCTTCACGGCTCACATAAAGAGTATCATCTACTTCCTTTACACCTATATTTATATAATATACTTAGTAGAATTATTTTTTAAGAAAAGTATGGATTAAAATATTTTTTTACAACAACATCTTATTTAGATTTTACGCCATTTTGGCATTCATAATAAAGTTCTTAGAAAAATCTTGGGCATAAACACGTGACCTTTTATTATTTATTCCTAGGGCAGGTTAAAAACGGATAATAACAAAAAAACTACTAAAAACTATGTATGTAGCCCTTACGGGACTATTTAATTAGGTAATACTTTAGTAGAGGTCTCGTCCGTTTACCAAAAGGTAGCTGATTTGAAGCAATTCCTATTTCTTTATTCAAGCAAGTATGTATCATAAGTTGAACATTTAATTTAACTTTTCAGTAAATGGGGATCTGCCACTTACAATTTCTTATATGAACTGTGGTTTCAAGGAGGGTACGACATATGCGCAATACCTATCTATTATTTTTTCCCTGAAACCTCTGGCCAAGTGAAACCCGAGTGGGCGGAGTCGGTGTTAGGATACGAAGCATTGAACGAACGACACTTGGAATACTACAACCAGCTGCACAATTCTAAATATGGGTGAGGACGAGAACTGTTTATTCGCTTATCTCTCTATCATAGTAACGCTCTGTTAAAAAAGTGAATTCATTAATTTATTTGCATACTTATCTATAATACCTATTTTATAAAAAAAATCGTCTCATGTAAGAATTGAAATTGTGGCTTTGATAAGCCTAGGTGAACGCCATAAACAGTAGGCAACTAAGGTTAACGAAATAAGTTTTATATACATAAGTATTAGGTGGTTTAACACTTATTAAAACCACAGTTTAAAACATATGGAGAGTATATAAAGGGTGGTAATGCGTCTTGGGAGTCATATTAGTACTTTATAAAAAGACGAAATTTCGTTTTCGGAGATACAGAGCAGTTCTGACCCACTGCTCAGTCAGATGATAGAAAAATATTAGAGAGTTACGTTTTTTTTTTGTTTCAATTTAACAAGAAATGGCTTAGATAATATTTTTTCAAATGAAGTTCTATCGATATTATATGAGTCGTTTGATGCAATACGAAAATGTATAACATTAAATCGTTTGTGTTTATGTTTTTAAATGTTTTGTGATTATATACAATCTTGTAGTTTAACGTTCAAAGTTCGATTGCTTATGTTCAGCATAATAAATTTTTATCTTTCTAGTGTTTTCATTTATAGCCAGCTGGCTATCTAAAGTATATAAAGGGTAAAGGGGTGCCCAGCTGGGCAAGCTGCTATGAGTTGTAAATATTCCCTATAGGTAGAAGACAGGATTTATTAATTAGTTTTGATATTTTCACGTTATCATTTGGCAACGTAATAGTACTTTTTATAGTCAAATATGAAGCCAAAATATTGACACTCGGTTTTGGGTATCAATGAACTTTTTTTGTAATGAGGAAGTATTTAAAAAAATAGTTCCCGAAATCAAACTAGATGTCGTTACTGCACTTACTATTTGGCGCTTATTTCATTTTATTTATAGTGGCGGTATAAGATTCACCACCTTCGTATTACATCCTGCATCTTTTCTGAAGTACTTGAAAGAAAGATTCGAACGCGCAAACGGGAAAGTTATATTCGGCGATGTGACGTCCTTGCACGACCCATTGCTTGAAGAATACGATGTGGTAGTGAACTGTGCCGGTTTGGGCGCCAGGCACTTAGTACCCGATAACAGAGTGTATCCGATACGGGGTCAAGTAACGAAGGTAGGTACAACAAAATTTCATAAACGTTCTCCGTACCGTTGCAATACTTCGGAAGCCGGGTTCGATTCCCAGTTGGGTGAATGTATAAAATAAATTTTTCTATATTGTCTCGGGTCTGGTAGTTGTCATACCTTCGTTGTATCAGATACTTTATAAAACATAAGTTTAATAGCTAAGTATATTGGAATCCAGGTGGTGTACATAACGTTGTATAAATATATATTTTTATAGCCTACCGTATCGTATGATATATAAAATATATCGTACTTCTTTTTTTTAAGATCAAAGCTCCATGGATCAATAAAGTTATTGTCGATGACGTCAGCGGGAATTATGTCATACCCAAGTAAGTAAAAGCATTTTTGATCGCACCTAACAGCTTCATAGCATAGTTTCATGTTAGCCAATTGGGAACCGTTCTATGTTAAAATTTGCGGCATGTAACTTGAATCAAGATGGCGGTTTCCTGCGCAGTTTTGGTACACTCAGTGTTGTAGTAAGAAGAAAAAGCTGCGCGTGCATGCCCTAAACCAGTGCTTCTCAAAAGGAGGGTCACAGAGGCTCCGCGTTCAGTCCGAGAGTTAATAAAACATTCCTAGAAAAGACGCATAACTAACTAGATTTAATACGATTTAATATTATTATTATTTTTCATTAGATTTAATATTATTTTTCACCAAAGTATAATATGTTGTTTATTTTCAATTTCTTTAGTTATCCAAATAGGATATTAAAAAAGTTGCGAACCCACTGCGCTAAGCATATCTTATATCATTTTGCTTATAGGCTAACCTAGCAGTGAGTATACTGCGTTGCTAAGATTACACGCTGCGTCTCACCCCCGCGCCTAGATCGAGACCCGAAAATGTGCTACTGAGCAGTCGCCATTTTGATTCGACGTTACGTACCTTACGGACCACGCATTATAACTAGAGTTTGGCAAGCGAAACGTGACACCACCTATTTTTCCGTTTTCATATGGCAACAACATAGAACTGTCAGTTTGACACTACGTTAGACAATTCAAGAATATTGAATTTTGTTGTTTTTGCGAATTTGAACTTGTGTTTTTGGTTAAAAATTATGTCGAAGCCGATAAAAAGTTCATCGAGGAAACTTCTTTCCATCATGATTGACAAGTTTACTGAAGTGAAAACTGAATTAAATAAAAATTTCATGGAGAAATTACAACGATTAGATAAAGTTGTATCTTTTTTAGGTTAGTTTTGTATTATAATTTTGATACTTTCGTTTTAATTTTCTGTAATTAACTAAACAGATATTTTTTATAAAATATTGCTCTATTTCAGATAACTGTGATGGTGATATTCAACCAATAATGGAGGAGATAAATGCAATAAAAACTTTAGAAAAACAAGAAATGCTGAATTCGGAAACGCAGTACTTACAAAAAATTTCTTCAATGGCAGGTCTCTTTTCTTGTTTTGATTTAAGATAGATTGATAGTATTCCTATAATATTTACATAGGTTTTTTATGATGTATTGGTTTTTATTGTTGACATCCAATGATGTCATAAGAATGTTTTGTTTAACAAGGAAATTCACAGAATTCATGAAACTAATCAAACCATGTAATTGTTATACATGCTAAATATGCACATAAACTTAACTAAATTAAACATAAATTGCATTCATAGTTGAATAGGTATTTAAATTATTTTGATGTATGTGTCTATCATTATTTGCTTTTAAATACATTTAACATATCTTTGTTTCAAAGTGTTTAATCTTTTATAGATGTAAGTATAAGGACACTAAGAAGGATAAAAAATGAAGCATTAATTAATAAAGGAAAATGGGACACTCCTGGGAAAAAACGACCTCATCAACCAACAGTGTCTGCTTTAGATAATTTTGATTTAAGTGCAATTCGGAATAAAGTAAATGAATTTTACTGTGTGAAAAAAATTGTTCCAACATTAAGAAGCCTTCACAATGAATTAAAAGATGCAATAGGATTCAGTGGTAGCCATGAGACTTTACGAAAAATTATGCTTAAGAATGGATTTTCTTTTAAAAGCAATGAAAATGAACGTTCTATGCTTATAGAAAAATACCAGATTTCTGCATGGAGGCACAAGTATTTGAGAGAAATAAATGTAAAACGAAACGAAGGAAAGCAAATTGTGTACCTTGACGAAACTTATGTACATCAGAATTATAAAGTTAAAAAGTCTTGGCAAGGACCTTCAACAACTGGTGTCACTACAAAGATATCCTCTGGAAAACGGCATATTGTTGTGCATGCTGGATCTGAGGAAGGTTTTGTGCCTGGTGCATTATTAGTGTTCAGTAGTAAATCCAAATCTGCTGATTATCATGATGATATGAACTCATCGAACTTTATGAAATGGGTCAGAGAAAAATTAATACCAAATTTAAGTAAGCCCAGTGTAATTGTTATGGATAATGCCAGCTACCATATAAAACAAATCAATAAACCGCCTATAATGTCTAATACCAAAGCAGATATCCGTAAATGGCTTGTAAATAATGGAATACATTTTGAGGAATATCAGACAAAGGCAGAGTTAATGTGTTTGGTTAATGATAAGAAAACATTGCCTGTATATGAAGCTGAAGAGATTTTAAAAGAACATAATCATGAACTTTTATTGCTGCCACCGTATCATTGTGACTTAAACCCAATAGAGATGGTTTGGAGTCAAGCAAAAAGAAAAATTGCAAGCAGAAACATTGGAATACCAGGAAAGGAAATGGAAAACTTAATAATAGAGTGTTTTAACTTAATTACCCCTAGTGACTGGAAGAAATACACTGATCATGTTTTAAATGTCGAAAATGATTACAAATTAAAAGATGGCATTGTTGAAAACGAACTTGAAAAATTTATTATATCTGTTGGTGCAGACAGTAGTGAAGAGAGTGACTCTGATGATTCCTTGTCATTGTTATCAGGTGTAGAATATTTAGAAACAGATTTTGACTATGAATCAGACTAAAGTATTTTTAGTCTGATTCATAGTCAAAATCTTATCTTAAATTTTCTATTGTGATTAACATGATGATTTTGTGACACCTGTATTATGTAATTTATCCATGGCACTTAATTGTAACAAAAATAAATGTTTTTTTTATTGTAATCTGGTGTTTATATTGACTAATTTAATTTGATAGATAGTGGTTCTGGATCAGAGCAAAAGGTTGTGATGAAAATCCCTTAGGAGACATGTATGTGTTATGAACACATTATAAATATAAGGGCCAGAAATCAAAATTGGCTAACATCACATTTATTAAAAAAATGTGGCCAGAGTCGCCCATATTCATTACAAAAAAACAAAGAAGTCGTTGCAAAAAACACCCTTTTAATTAATGACAAATATGAATTTTTAACATTATAAGTGCTGTTAGCCAATAGGTATAACGAATGGGTTAAAAAAAAGATTCGATTTAGTCCGTCAGTCAGATAATAGAAAAATATTGGATACGTATTTTTTTTCGCTTTAATTTAACAACAAATGGCTTAAGAGGTACTATGCGACGACTTCAAATATGCTTTGCAACAATGTTACTTTAATACAGTTTATCGATACGAAATCAAGTGTCAAAATGGAGTCCAGTGGAGAATGCCGATATTGACATTTCGAAATTGCTCATCATTGATAGAGAATACGAAATAGTGATTTTGACACAATCAAAGTGTCTATTTTTTACGGTGATGACGATTCTTGGTTGTCAGTTGAGTTAGTGAATAGGCCTACTGATATGCTGTTAACTGTACAATTAAGAACAGTCACGCTTTAGTCAAATGTTCCAAAACAAATAATTTTAATTGATATCTAAATGTTAAGATTAAATATAATTAATAAAAGTATCAAAATTATTTTGCAGTACTACATTCAGTGTTTACTGCTTAAGAATTTTTGAAATTGCCGCCCTTTTCTTGTGACACGTTTCGCTTGCCAGACTCTAGTTAAGTTTTTCTGTTAGTATAATGAAGCCTAATTTCTGCCGCCTTGTTCCAGTTACGACACATGTATCTTAGGTGGAACACATCAGGAGGACGATTATAACACAAATGTTGATGAGAAAGATAAACAGTTTATTGTTGATGGATGTAAGGCGCTATTTCCTGGACTCGGCAAGGTGAATGAACTTAAATGTATTCTGAATTAACAACCGTTACTGAGAATATCTTCGCCAGTCTATGGCCCCCGGGGAGAATGACAAAAATATGAAATCTAGTCGTAACAGAGCTTCGAGGGTATGATTTTTAGGCGGCGATACTTGATGTTAGTAAAGTTAGAAAATATTTTTACCGCTGAAGACTCATGGTAATAGGAAGACTAAGTTTTATTAGTTGGTCCCTCAGGTAGATTACTGAAGAATATTAAATATGTATTTATTTTGTGTAATCAATAAATTACGGCGATATGAAATTTCACTTGACGTTACGCCTTTGTACATTTTCTCCTCAACTGTGACGTAGCGAGCCCCCACTCCTCAACTTTAATGCCTGTTATCTATACTTCATTCATTATAGCATTAGACAGAAGTGAAATAAGGTTCTTTTTATGGTATACTTTGTGACAAAATATCAATAATCATGTTACTTTTAAGACTGACGGCTAATTTGCTACATATCCACTTAAATATCAGCTTCTATACTTAACTGTTGTCATTTAAGCTATCTATTAAACAAATTTATGAGTATATGACCAACTTAAATGATTTTATAAGTATTACAATAAAAAGTGTTCATCGTAAAGAACCTAAAGAAGCAGGGTTGGATAGTTTCGGCACGATTCTCATGTCACTATAATTCTACCAAATTTAAAACGTTGCCTAACCCCTTCAAACGTTTCGGTAGTACAGCTTTTTAATTTTGTCAGACTATTATTTATTCATAATTGTTAAAATCGTCATCTGGGATTGTCATCCATTGTGAATGCTACTGCCTTTCTTGTTGTTTTGCCATTTTCCGTGATGTTATTGTTTTATTTTTGTTGTTAAGTTTTGGTAAATATGGACGATGCCGGTACAGGCCCGAGTGACCTACAAAAATTACGCTCTAAGCCCCATACCTACCCTCAAACTTTGACATTTCAGGGAGTTTTTCCAATGTTTTCATCAATAGTCTAACTTATTACACTTACAATTAGAATTTATCAAAACACACAGATAGTTTCAGTTTTAGTTCCATGTTGGCTTGGGACTAAAAGATGAATTTATAAAATGCTGGCCTCATCTCAACCCCGAGGTATCATAAAAACTGGAAAATTGCCTAGCTCTTTCAGACTACCTAACGTTCAAAGTTTCAACAAAACTAATATAGATTTTTTAAATTTATCTTGAAAATAAAATGTTCTGCACTGCTGCTTCTAGGACCCTCTTTTTTCTAATGTTATAGTGAAAGGAGTTATAAGCTATTTCTTGTTAAAATTAAAGAAAAAAATATGTATCTCATATTTTACTATTATCTGACTTACAGACTAAATAGATTTTTTTACCCAGTTGTCATCCCTGTTCTCTTCGGTCACGCATACGAAGCAGAATTTACTTACATTCCTGTTGACATAACAAAACAGCCTTTATTTCATTCCTATTTATGCAGCAAATACATAGTACATTATAATTTTTAGCGTGTAGATGTAGTGCAAGATTGGGTAGGATTGCGGCCTGGAAGATTTGAAATCCGATTGGAAGGCGTCGAAGATGGAGGAAAATTAATAATTCACAACTATGGCCACGGTAAAGTGATTTACTAAGTTTGTTATTTGTGTAACACGTATGTTCCAGACACGCCATTACTTTTTTCTTTAAAATATTTAGTAAATCCGAAATTATTCAAGAAACACATTATAAAGACATTTCTTAAATAATTAATTTGTATGCATCAATAGCATCTGCAGACATTCTCATCACTAAATAGTAAAAAACAAAGTCGCTTTCTCTGTCCATATATCCCTATGTATGGTTAAATCTTTAAAACTACGCAACGGATTTTGATGCGGTTTTTTTTCATAGATAGGGTGATTCAAAAGGAAGGTTTTTATGTATAATACAAGACCACACGGGTGAAGCCGCTGGCGGAAAGCTAGTATAAACTAAAAGTTATTGTACCTTGTTTACATATAATAATATTAACAATAATTTTGAGTTTATTATTATCTAAAAGTTTAAATAAGTATCGTGTTGAAAATAGCATCATGATGTTTTTTGTATGGCTAATAGTTTAATTTTGAATTTGCAGAATGATATTGAGACTTATTATATAGTCAGATAAGTTTAAAATCGATGGATTATGTTTTTCATAACCCGATCATCACTAAATAACAAAAATGTCTGGAATAACAAACTAATTGATATTAACCATATTCTTCAGGTGGCAGTGGACTGACACTGTTTTGGGGCTGTGCTGATACTGTATTAGAGCTAATAAGAGAGAAAGTAAAAAATCCAGTAAATGAATTCAAGTCAAAACTTTGATCAACCACTACGTTTATTAAAATAAAAGATGTTTCCAAAAATATATATATACACATTTTGTAACGAGAACATCAAATAAATCATAAAATATATTTGAAAACAAAACCCATATTTCTTTGATTTTTCATTGAACATTATTATTAATCATTAAGTAAATAAAATGAAATAAAATAAAAATTAACAAAATAGTATATTTGGCAAGAACATAACAACTGTTTCGCTATTTGGACTTCTTGATCGTGTCATATACGTCTGTTCTCCTTTGCCTCCTAATTGGAATTTGACTACGGACTTCTTCGACGACATTAAGATCTATAATGAGAAAAAAGTTAGTTGTAATTTTGTTTTTAAACTAATTAATTAATCAATTATTATTAATATTATAATTATACTTAAAAATGGCGATGAAAATTGGTTACATGATAAAACCCTTATCATGTATCATGTATTGAGGTGTATTTCTTTTAGATTCTGAAATATCTGTAAGATACGTATATATTAACTATGCTGTTGACTATAGATGTTGACGGCCCAGAGCTCTGATTTGGATCTTGAAAGCTAAATAATAAGTACAATCGAGTCGGGTTATCTATTGAAAAGATCGATGTTCAGAAGACCTGTGTGCAATTATAATATCTCTGTCACGCTCGCACTGATATATAGTTTATAGCTTTACATGAAATATATCTTTAAATTATCAAAATTTCTCGCTAAAACGCCGCTTCTGTGCGCGGCGTCCCCACTGAAAGTAATGTACCGATGGTGGCGTGCAGCGTGCCGGGCGCGGGCCCCAGCGCGTGCGGCACGGCGGCCCAGGGGTCGGCCAGCAGCGAGTGCCCCCACGCGCGGTAGGCGGCCCCCGGCGGCGCGCGCGCGGGGCTCACCAGCGCCACCCACGCCTGCGTGTCGCACGCGCGCGCGCGCGCCAGCAGCTCCCAGTGCAGCGGGCCCGTGGTCATGTTGAACGCGCCCGGGTATATCTGCAGCGCGCAACCTGACACACACACACACACACACACCTGCCCTGTCTATAACGTGTTTCGAGTTGCGCACGTCTCCAACTTTTTCCTTTTTGATACGATCCGTCGATAGCGGTAACAGACTTGAGTCATCGAGAATGCTCGATGAGGAAGTATTTAAAAAAAGAGAGTACTAAAAAACACGTTGTTGCAAAAGTTGATTTTGGCAGGAAACGAATATTTCTGTTTCTTTTAACTAACATATTAAAAAACTGAAATTTGCAAAATTCGAAACTTAGATATGAATACAAATACTAAAAAGTACAAATAGAAATGGGTTGTTTATTGAGTTTTGAAAATTAATTTTATTTTATACATGAAAGAAAACCGGAAGTATTGTCATGTAGAAATCAAGAAAGTACCGTAGCGACATCTAGGTAATTCTATTTCGAAAATTAATGTATTTTTTTAAATACTTCTTCATTGATATTTTCCAGTGATATTCTCAGAATCGAAATAGATGTTGTGCCCTAGTGTTCCGTCGAATTGTCTATGCCAGACGCACATTTATTAGACTAACAGCCCGTTGCACAAACATCCATTAAAATTAACAAAAGTTTAAAGCTACATTACCCATACAAATCTGACATTCATTCTCTAATGAATTCTTAAAGGGGTCATTAAACGTCATTAATGAATGGACGTTTGTGCAACTGATCGTGAGGTAGATAGCACAAGATAGTAGTTTTTTTTTTATATCTCCTCATTGTCCATTAAATAGTCCATGTGAAAAAGCTATATCATACGCGGGTGACATGAACTATAATTATTATTATTAGAAAGACTGAAAATTTGTTTGTTTTTATTGTAATTACTGGACCTATTTAAAAATTCTTTAGCAAGCGAGAAACATTACATTCACTAGTTTCGGATGTTCTCGGGGCTTCTCAGTGTGAGTCTGTCCGGCCTATTACCATTAGAAGTCTAGTATTATCTTTGATGAACATAGGCGATAGAATATTTTCAAAAAAGTAATTGTTTGTGAAAAATACCCGTTCGAACTAGTCGGTCTTAGAATATTGACTTTAAAAATTAAACTTTAAAAAATATTAAAATACACAAACACTTTCAAAATTACCTTCTTGTGCCATGATATGTGCCATTTCACCGAAGCGCAAATCATAACATATACCGATTCCGATCTTGATACCGTTAAATTCGAACGTAGTTATTTTGTCGCCCGGTGACAATACATCAGACTCCTTGAATGTTATCTTGTTGGGAATGTCTATGTCGAACAGGTGCAACTGGAAGCAGTAACTTTCATTAATGTCTCGGCTGCTATTTCAAAGGTAATAAATAATATTATAAATGCGAAACTTTGTGAAGATGCATCCATCTTTGTTATTATTTTGTTGATCAATTCGTTTCCTAGTCGGGTCAATGTAGAAAACGAACTTTTCTACATTGTCTCGGGTCTGAGTATTATGATACCTCCGATGTTTTGTGTGTTCATAATACTACTTATCTACTTGATTTAGCATCTGAGCTAATGTATGTGATGTTGTCTATTCCATATTAATATTATAAAAATATATAAAGCTTAATTAATATTATAAATTCGAAAGTAATTCTATCTGAGTGCGTGTTTTTTAATCAAATATACACGGATAGAGTGAACCTTGAGAAAGGACGTTGGATAGTTTTGTTTTGGCGTAAAGCCGATAATTATCCACCTTCCTGTGTTGCGCGAGCAGCTTCCCGCTGGGGTCCCAGACGGCGCAGGTGTTGTAGAGGCGGTCGCCGCACCGCTCGGGCACGGTGCCCCCCACCACGCACACGCCCGCCTCCGCCGCCGCACGAGACAGGGCGCGACTGGTCTCCCCGGCGGGCACCTCCTCCGCGTACTCCTCGAAAAATTCTGACCGAAAACCAATTCTAGCTTATTAGAACTTCGTTTAAACCACTCGCTGTCTGAAGCAAATGAACAACGGCAGAAAAGAAGACATCGAATTGAGAAGTGTGGTATATATTGGTTGAAAAATTGTTTTCGTTGGTCGATTGCGATCTTTTAAAGCTTTTTTCATTTATGTCGCCTTTGATCAAGTTGTTCTGGTAGGATCTCTATTGTTTCCGATTTCCATAACAAAAATATTATTTATACTTGTACTGCAATCTGAATATTATGCGTGGTAATTTCCGATTAATATAATAATATGGTGTATTGAACAAACACAATTATTTTATATAACAATTTGCAAACTGACAAAATAACAAACAGCAAGCAAATGAAATATATCTTGTATGGCCAAACCGTAAAAGGTTATGGGCTTGTTTCCCCTCTTGAGTTGCCTTCAGGGATATCTTAGGAGATTTTCTTTAAATATATTCTATATCTTTATTTTGTATATAACAAACCAGTTTAAGGGATTCAATTAGTTTATGAAAAGTTAACAATTATTTTACTTAGGCAAGCCATATAGATAATAAGTATTTATATACACCTTTTGTCATACCTATATCAAAGATCATGTAAGAATGATGACTGAGCACCAACAAGGCAATAAGATTTCACTAGATTCATTTATATTTATGTAAATTCTCTTATGTTTTACAAACAATGTAAGCATAAATGCTGCAAATGAGATAATATTCAATGTATATTTTGTTTGTAGAATTTATATTTTGGTGGGTTGAAGATAGTCAGTGTTAAACATTAATTATTGTTCATGATAAGAGAACCAGTTTGCTCCAGATCAAAGCAAGGCAAACACATCACTACAAGCTGGACAATAAAACTTGATATGCACTAAATACATTGAAAAATGTACTCATAACTACAAAATTGACATTCATCATAATATTGTTCTACTTAATTCAATTTGCTACATGAATTTTAAACAAATGTGTATTAGACTGAGATAGAATCATTAAATTATGATACATTTGGGACAGAATATATATTTATTTTGAAATTAAATTAAAAAAAGATTTTATACAAATGATATAACATGATAGGAGCTGTTGGTTCTGCAATGTGTAAGTTATGCTTCTTTCTCATGGAAGGCTTTTACCCTAGCGTGGGGAAATCAATAGGTTGAGGATCAACATGATATTTTTAGTGGGTAAACTCCTGTTTCTTGTCTAGCCCCTTCGGGGGTGGGGCCACAGGAGGAGTCCCACATCACCCGTGGAGCCCGCGCAGGGCGAAGCGGGTATGCGTAACGCATTTCTCAGCGTAAAAAAAAAGGATCAACATGATATAATATCTGAAGACATACCTGTGCCATATGGTGAATTAAAGCATTCAGGCAGGGCTACCAGCTGAGCACCTTTCTCTTTGGCTTTATGGATCTCTTGTACTGCAGCAGCAACATTCTTAGCTTTATCGGGGCCCACTGCCAACTGGACTAGAGCTATCTTGAGACCTGCAACACCATTTAACACACTAGAAATTGACAAACCTCAGAGTGCCAAGGACAAAGTGGATTGTTTAAGCATTTTTCATTAAGTATATTTTTCAGTATAGCATTGTGAATGCAAGATTGATCAAATATAATACCTTTTTTTGCACTATGCTATTTACATTGTCCCATATTGGTAAAATGATTTGGAAAATTTCACTCAGAATTATTTGAAAGAAAGGTGAATAATTTGTGTGGAATGTTAATGAAGTTCTGCTGATTATAATATTATTTATTATCTTCATTATATTCACTTTCAGAAAATAATCAATAATAGAGAGACTCAAGATCTAAAAATCACTTTCAATGACACTATTGTTTCCAAATTGAAAACTGCATTTTCAATTTATTACTAGGCTTAGAAAAACAATACACAGAAAGACATATTTTTCTGTTTGCGCTGTATTATATAGACATTAAATTATTACTAAGAAGCTTCCTGTTATCCTGTTTATGTGTTATCTGTCTTCTCTATTGCATAATGAGATAATTATAGTATTTATTAAATTAATAAAAACAAGTGGATGGTGCATGGATGCATGTTTATGATTAAAAGCTTAAGATTTGATTAGATTCTTCTTATTTGGGCCGAGTTAGTAAATCATATTCAAGGAAATAGTAGGATGTGCAGTAGGTAGGTTTGTAGTAGAGGACATTCAAAATACTATACCACTATGCATAGCTACGAGTTTCTTTAAAAACCGTGGATGAGTAGCGTCAACGTAACTCTCACAATCACTCATAACGGGGAACTTATCGAAACAAACAAGGCACTATTAACTTTGAAAGTTTTTTCAAAGAATTGTATTAGTTTAGTTTACCTCGCTTGAGCATGATTAGGTCATTTATACAATGAAAGAATCACAATAAATATCTAATAACAAAAATAAATCTTAAAAAAATATATAAAGCCGGCAAGCAGGCAGTACAACAAAAGTGTGAAATAAAAATAATACGAAAACTACATGCAAAAGAAGATAGATAAACTTTTCTCGTTGCTTGACAGTATCACAGTAGACTTGAGTATTCGTGAGCGAGTGATATAAATGTAACATTTGTCTTAAGTGAGATAATAGATCAGTTCGCTTGCCTATGTTTTAAATATATCTTTGTAACTGCGAGTGAATGAAATAGTCCTTGCAAAACTTCTAGTTCATTCTGAAGTTGTGGTGCAAGAAGTAAAATATGTAATTTTTTTAAATATTTAGACTGTGTTTCTAGTCAAACGAAACGAAACCTGCCCCCTAATTGTCTAATTTTAAATCTATTGCAATCGCTTTCAGTTTGAAAGGTGTTGCACAACCATTGCTTGTTTCTGAAGACAGTTGAAAAAAGAGTATTTGTATTATGCAGCAATGTTTGTGCAACACCTTTCAAACTGAAAGCGATTGCAATAGATTTAAAATTAGACAATTAGGGGGCAGGACGTGACATCTGATATTAAACCGAATTTTAAAAAAGGAAATATTATAGAAGGAATCTACACAAATGTAAATAGCCATTTTTTTTTATGGGATAGGGGGCAGACGAGCAGACGGATCACGGATGGTAAGTTATTACCGTCGCCCGCCGACGTCGCGCCGTCGCGCTGCCGGCCTTAGAGGGAAGGGTTGAGGGGTAGAGGGCAGGGAAACAAAATGATTTAATTTGAGAATGTTTCACTTTCATCCGCTTTGTGTTATCGATATCGTATTCAATAGAATATTTATCTTTTATATCTCGCTCAGAGAAAGAAAACAAAACCCTGTTCTCTTTCGAATTGAGCGAGATATAAAATATCGTAGACAGAGAAAGCAATAGACTATTGGTATGTTCTATCTCATTCATCGGGAAATGAAATGACTTATTACAATTTTCATTAGTTAAAGTGAGACAAAAACATTATTTGTTGTCCTTATCGACGTGCCGGTTTTTTTGTTTGGCACCAGGCTTGTTTGGCACCAAAACGTCAAGATTTTAGGCATAGAAATTGTTGGACTCAAATATATACAAAAAAAGTTGGAAAGAAGTGTATTTAAACAATGTTTTATATAATGTATAAAGTTTATATGTAAGAAACGTTACTTGCAAATTAAAATAATGGTTAAGTGCAGTGTTATATCTTGCAAAAATAGATCCGAAAGAAATATTGTAGGTCTATCATATTTCAGGTAAGTTAGAAGAATTTTGTTTATTTCTTCGTAAGGTAAAATTTTTCAATGGCATAACCGATGTGAATTTTATTAAATACGACACAAAACAAGCTAAATATATTATTAAATAAGTCGAATAAGAATATAACCTCAAATCATTAAGGCTGACATCTAAGTGCTTAAAATCTCCCCTCAAAGTGCTTTAAAATTAAATTATCAATATTCTGTTAAACAAATATCAAAATGTTTGAAACTCAACTATTTTCAAAGTACATAGAACTACAAAATGGGATTTAAAAAAACAATTGGGCAGTTTTTAAACTTTGTATTAAAATAAATCCAAGTTTGTAACCTAAAATATTAGCATTTAAAGCCTTTCAGTAAAGTTTTGCATGATACTATTAAAATACCGCTTAATTTACTGTAATGTAATGTTAAATTACATTTTCTAGACTTAATTGAATATCATTTCTGTATTTAGAATCACTAAAAATTGTGCTATGTATTTGGTTAGAAATGTTTGAGTTTATAGTAGATAATATAACTAATTTTATCAATAAATCTCGGCCAAATGTGTTTTTTCTTCATAAAATATTGTTATTCCATATGACAATCATATTATTATCATAATGATGACCTCAATTTTCCAAATTAAAAATTGATATTAAAAAAAAAGTGTTTTAGTAATTGTGTTTATATTTTAGATTTTCATCACATGAACATGAACTTCAAAATTGATTGATAAATGAAACTGAACTTCAAAATTGGATTGAAGCTTGCGGAAGACCAAATTGTAAGCCTTCAAGACATGCCAGGGTGTGTTCAATGCATTTTGAAAAACATTTATTTTTAAATGTAGGAAGACAAACAACATTGAGTACATAATAAGGATTTTATTAAATAGATATAATAGTTAAATACTTATTATACAAGTGAGATATTTTTGTTTCTTAATAAATCCACTTTTATAATACCTTCCTCAAAGGGATATACACAATGTAACAATAGGAATGGTAAGTATAGAAAAGTCTGAAACTATAAGATATTGTATGTTAGTATTATTTTGTTGGTTTCATACAATATTAATTAACCATGTAAAACCTTTTTAGATTGAGAATCTAAACTGGACTTTTTGAAAAATAAAATATACATAATTTATACTAGATACTGATAGTCTAAGTTTTAAACTTTTAATGTTATTATTAAATAAGAATTGCCTTCATTAAAAATTAATCCTATATCTCTATACTTGCTAGGAAATTTTAAATACTATGTCAGTTTAAATATTGATTTGTTCGTGGAGTTATAGTTTTTTTGCACTTGTTAAGTAATTTTTATTTACCATGCCATAATTGTTGTATAAAAATATGAGATGTTCATAATTTAGTCGCATATCGGTTATTAGTGTTGTGTAGACAGAACCACAGATCATATTCTTCATAAATATTATAACTTATTTGTGCCATAATCTAATCTTCAAATATTATCTGTGCTATCCTTTTAGAAATACACTGATTATGATTTGTTTGTATCTTTATAATAAAGAAATGCTAGAAAATATATTGTGAAATAATATTGGTTATTATGTTTTTTAAGAATTCTTATCTATGATTTAAGAGTAGGTATTGTAAGCTCACTAAAATATGTTTTTTTTATTTTGTATTAAAATATAATAATAATGTATCATTTTACTGTATATTAACATTCATTTTCATATTTTTAAAAATCTTTTGTGTGATAAGAATTCACTGTAACAAAGAAAATTGTGCTCTAATTTGTGATTGGATAACCAAATAAAAGCCAATTTTAATTTATAATAGTATGTATTAAGAATTCAAATTTTGTTTAATGGCTTTTAAATATATTTAACATTATATAGTATTAATTGTATTAGGCGAATACTTATTTAGATTAATTACTCTGGTGTACTTGCTGCAGTTAAGTAGACAATTTATTTACTTTTTGTGATCGAGTAAGTTTATTTTAACTTATAAGTAGCATAATTGCTATTTTCAATATGTGATTAATACATGTGATATATCTAATTATTTGTAAAATTTTTGTGGAAACGAAGTAAAATGCTTTTTATTTTAGTACCCTCTTTGATTTCACCCAACCTGTAACTTTATTTAATATTGGTTTAGTAATTGATAATTATTTTCATTATAATTATTAATTGATTTTTCTAATAAGTCATAGCTCTTAATAAATCTCACACACTCAACAGCGTACATCGGCAGAATAGATTAAAATAGGTCTGCAGGTGTAATGATTTACACTAATTTTTATTATTAAAAAACCAAAAATGTTGAAAATTAACTTTCCTTTATTGTCTGGGGTCTGTGAGTTCTGAGTATTATGGTACCCTTGTTGTCACAGATACTTCAAAATACGGGGTTTAGTACTCCAAAATATACATCTTACAATATGAGCCATGTATGTGATGTTGAATGTTTATTTATCTATACTAAATATTATAAAAATTAAAGGTTTTATTGTTTATTTTTTACACCGAATAGGCTCCGAAACCATTGGACCGATTATTATATTTGATCAATCTCAAACTACCAGGGACAAAGTGGTTTTTAAGCATTTTTATTAAGATTACTGAACCGATTTTAATAACTCTTTCACATACGGGTAGCTACACCATACGCAGTTGACATAGGCTACAGTTTACACAAGCGATGTCGCGTGACAATAGCTATTTTATAGATATTCTAGTTTGAGATAAGAAATCTTCTGGGACTGGTTCTAGAATTTGAGTGAAGTATCGTGGTGGACTAACGAAAACCGTCAAGTCTCTTTATGAAATCGACCAGGATAACGGATACGACAGCAGTGGTGCACAAACGCTCATACCTCGAAAACACTAATACGTGCTCTGCTAATACTGTCTTGAAGTAATGAAATCCAGAATCTGATTAATTACTGATCAAAGTCAAATATCTCTGCAGGCTTACATATTTGTTTTCGATCAATAATTATTAAGATTCTGGATATCTATTTATTAGTATTTCGTAACTAAATATGAGACTAAAATATTCGATTGGATTAGTCAGAATGATAAAATACTTTGTGGTTACTAAGATCTACTAAATATCAACCTGTGTCAATAGTTTCAATGTTTTATTTCATTCTAAAATAACCTAAGGTTTTAAAAAATGGTCTTTCTAACAGCTATTGAGTAAACATACAGTGGCGCTGCTGGACTGACGTTAGCCCAACATCATCACAATGTTTCTTATTTGCCTTTCTAAACATAATTTTATAATTGAATAGGTACGTTATTCTCCTTTAAACGGTTTTCTTTATTGTCTATAGATATATTTTTTAATTTTGGTTGAATTAAATTTTCGAAATAGTTTTGTTTGTTTAAATTAAACTTTTTTGAGCATATTCTAATTTAGTAAAATTTAATTTTATTTCGAAAACTTCAGCAACCAAGCCCATTGATTCAATGTGCTAGTTAATTTAAGATGATAGATAGTGTATCAATATTTCTACAAAAAAAAAGTTCCTCTATTACTAATCCTTTCATCCATGGGAAGTTACATCATACGTGGTTGACTACAGCTATAATTTGGTGAAATCGCAGAAAAGTAGATAGTTTCTGAACATTTCTACATATTATGCTGACTAAATTATTCCTCCTTTGCTAATAACAAAATATCTCCCCATAATCGAGGAACATTTAACTATCTAGTAACACTGATGATTTATTTGTTGTCCCTTACGGTGGCACGCCTAATAACCCTCTATAAGTACTTACTCTAAGTAAAATATAGATGTATATCTTCGAGCCAAAAGATATATATCTCTCTTTTCACAAGAGCGATATACATTGCGCAAGGTGACAGTGTGTTTGACACACAGGTT